CTCACCCCCACGCCCCCACCCCCGTGTGCACAGCCTTTTTCGAAGCCGTGGGAGGCTGCAGACCCAGCCTCACGTCACGTGGGGCTAATAGGCCCCACGTCAGTTTGCAGAAAGACCATTCACACTTCACACCCAGCTCCTTGACTTGTCCAGGCACCAGTGTGCCGAAGGCTATTGGACAAAGACTTTGAAAGGGTTCCAAGGCTATTGTGCTATGTCGCTGTGATCAGGGCGGGGCAAGAGAGGGGTGATGATAGTGGAGGAGCGCTCCAGCAACATGGGGGCCACCACCCTCAAGTCCTGCCCACGTCACCATCTCCTCCCAGGGCAGCCACCGCAGGGATAGGCAGGAGCCAGCCCCAAAAGTTCACTCCTGGATGTTTATGAGGCCAGCACACAGGTTTGATTGGGAGGCACTAGCCGGAGTAGAGGGAGCAGAGATTTTCTTATACATCGAACATACACACACGCACGCGCACACACATACATGCATGCACGCACACACACACACATGCACACACACACATGCACACACACATGCGCACACACACACACACACACACACACACACAGTGTGATCCCAAAGAGTGGCATCGGGCAGGCAGGGGGCAGCACATTAACACGATCACGCCTGTCTTCCACCAAAAGGACCTGATCAGCGATGGTATGAGCGGGTAGCTCTCTTCCAACAGTCTCAATCCATTTCTGACACTGGACAGAGCCACTGTCCCCCACCTCCCATCATCCCTTTAGCTGGCAGGGGGATGACGGCCATCTCAGGACCTGCAGCACAACGGCTGCTTTCATACCAATGCACATACTTGTCTGACTTTCCTTTTTGCTTCCTGAGCTGAGACGTGCTAAGACCCTGGGCCTGTCCTGGCATGGTTCCCAGTTTATATAATATTTGGACAAGGAGGAGGGTGGGGTGAGAACACACACTAGTCCCACGGCCCCAGTCCCTTTGCATCAAGTATTTGAAACAACAGGGCTGGCCGAGTGGCTCAGTTGGTTAAGAGCTCGCTCAAGAGTTTGAGCTCTGAGCAACAGCGGTTCGAGTCCAGCCCGAGCTGAGCAGCCACTGAGCTGCCAACAGGTAGCAGGATGGCTCAGAAAAAAAAAAAAAAAAAAAAAAAAAAGAAGTAAAAAAGTATTTGAAACAACAGAATGCTCCCTCACACCTCAAAGCACTTTCACACCGATTCATTCATCTGTGCCCCATTGTCCACATGCCGGAAGTGTGGGTGGTAACACTGCAGAGGGGTGAGACCTTCCTCTCCCAGGAGCTTAGGCCCCAGGTCGAATCTCAGCCTTGCCAATTACGCACTTCGGGACCACAGGCATGCTACTGAACCTTCCAGAAACTCAGCTTCCCTAGCTCCAAAATAGAAGCTAGAATGCCACTCTTGCCAGGCTGTGATAAGGGAAATGAAAGTAGGTCTGTAAAGCTCTGGCCACTGTGCCCGGCCCCAGTCTCCGTTCACAGGGCGGGTCCTGCTGCTGGTGAGGTAGGTGGTGTGCCAGATGCTGGGGGAGCAGAGAGGAATGGGCTCATCTCTATTCTCAGGAAGCCTGTTATCTACAGAGGGAAACAGACACCCTGGAATAAGTGTAATGCTCTGTTGGCTACAATAGAAATGGGGGTGGGGGGTGGAATACTACAGAAGAACTGCCAGCTGGCTTCTCTTGGGGTCTGGGGACTAGCTGCTTGAACTAAGTAGCTCACTGAACTTGCTTGGTGTGTGCCCGGCACAGTGTGGGGTCTCCCATACTCCCACAAGCACTCTGAGAGGGGAGCGTTGCAATGACCCCCCCTTAGGGAGGAGGTCGAGAGGGACTGATTGGCACACAGCTAGTGAGCGCCGGGGTCGAGATTCAAACCCTGGTGTGTCTGACTGTAAAGCGCTTAGCTTTGGAAAGAACGGTCCTTTAGAGAGCTATGAAGAAGGACAAAAGAAAGGTGCACCAGGAAGGGAAATGGGGGCGGGACAGCGGTGGCAGAAGGCAGGCTCAGAGTCATTTCAGCGCAGTCCTGAGAAGCAGCTGAGGCAAGATTCCCATCCCTGTTCAACAGCCCTGAGGAACCATTTGTTAAACGGACTCACGACCTTCCCCTGCCAAACGGGCACATGCCTGGCAGGCAGTGGGCCCTCCACCACCCGCAACACATGCTCCCCGCCCCGAGTTCATTCCTTTGCTTTGTTCTTGGCCTCCCCCCAGCGGCTCGCACAGGCCCAGCCCCCCGCAAGCTCAGCGAATGTCTGTGAACAGAACTGGATCAATGCCTTGAGCCCAGAACTTCCAGCTTCCTCACGAGGGTTCTCGGAGCAGCTTCAAACGACATCTGCGAGCAGGGGTGCTGTGTGTGATTCTTGCTGTTTCGTGATCAGCCTGGATTCTGTGACAACCCCCATTCTCTTTCTTTTGTGACAGGGAATGGCCACTGGCACCTCCAAGGGAATGAAAATCAAGCCTGGTTCCTTGGGGAAAGCCATCCCACCCTTCGACATCAAGGTCTGGCCCAGAAGGCACTGGCAGGAAGCACTGAGGGCTCAGCTGGGACCGGCCCCCGTTCCAGCTGTCCTTCCTTCTCGCCTCCTATCGGGGAGGTTTCAGTAATGCAGCTCTCTCTGTGAGGGCAGAGGCCTCACACCCAGTGGATGGGGCAGCTCCCCGCCAGCCAGCTGGCACTTTCCGGCTTCCCCGATCTGGGCTGTCTCTCTTGAAGACACATTTGCAGTGTCTGCACAACCCATGACTTGGGTTTCACCACTTGCTGATTTCAAAGACTCCTGAGTTTTCTTCTATTTTCGGAAAGGGCTCCTCCCCCGTAACCCCCACTTGTGTCATGTGAATAAGTCGGGCCATTCTTGCGGGGGGTCAGGAGTGTCGGGGGGCCCCGCAGGGTGGGATTCACAAGCCTCTTGCTGCAGGTCATTGACGAAAAGGGCCATGTCCTGCCGCCCAACACAGAAGGCAGCATTGGCATCAGGATCAAGCCCACCAGGCCCACAGGCCTGTTCATGTGCTACGAGGTAAGGGCACCCACCTGCCCCCTTCCCGGCCCCGAGGACCCTGTAGGGAGCTGTGCAGGTGATGAGGCAGCGGACTCAACTCTGCATTCTGAGTTTTCTTCACATCTCCCTTTGTTCGTGCCATCTTAACGACACCTGTTCCAACTAATCTCAAAGCTCACGCTGTGTCCCCACGTCCTCTCCTGCCCTAACCCGTCTGGCACTTGTGGGTTGACGGATGGATTAGAAAGAAGCCTGGCTTCAGAACCACCAGACTTGGGGGCCAATGCTCTCCTGTGGTTAAGAATGCAGGCTCTGACTAGGTTCCAATCCCACCACCATCCAACAGGGTGTGAACAAGTCTAGTAACCTCACCCAGCCTCCAAGGGACGCCTCACTTACAGAGAAAGAAAATGTGGGCTGGAAGAGTTGCGTGTCTTCCCCATGTCAAATAAATGGCAGGTCTGGGATTCAAACCCATGTCTTTTGGGCCCCAAACCCTAAAGAAACCCGAGGGTTACAGAAAACTGGAGTAGGCTATAGGAAAACCTGCTGACACTCTTGATCAGACAAACCCTAGCCCTTCCAGGTTAGTCATGGAAATTCTCAGCATCTAAGATTGGTCATAGAAGGGTGGGCAGACCCTGAAACTGATCTCTGGGCTGCATCTGCTTTCTTCAAAATAAAAGCCATGGGAGGCTCTCTGGGTGTCACTGTTTTCCTCACTCCATGACCTCCAGGGGTCCTGGAGCAGATATGCAGGTCTTAATTCTCAGGAGCACAATTTTAAGCTGGAGTAAAAGAGAAAATAAACACAGGCTAACATGTATATAGACCATGAGTTCTCAACCCTGCCTGCAAGTTAGAGGCATTTGAGGAGGGTTTTTTTGTTTTGTTTTTAATGCTTGGATTCCACCACAGAGATTTTGGTTAAATGACAAACAGGGGTGATCCAGAGCTATGACTTTTTTTTTTTAACTGGACTTGACATATATTATTTTGCAAAGATGTCCTCACATATGCCCACACCCTAGTATCCTATTTCACATGCTCTCAGGACAATGAAGTGGAATTGCTGGGTCCCACCTATGTTTAACGTTTTGAGGAGCTGCCGAAATGTTTTCCATCTCTCTGCATCATTTTACATTCACATCCACAATGTGCAAGGGTTCCAATTTCTCCACAGCCTCCCCAACACTTGCTGTTTTCAGGGCTGGGTTTTTGTTTTGTTTTGTTTGACAACAGCCACCCTAATGAGTGTGAAGTGGTATCGCATGGTGGTTTTGATTTGCGTTTTCCTAATGACTAGTGACACTGAGCATTTTTTTCACGTTCCTATTGGCCATTTGTATATCTTCTCTGCAGAACTGTCTATTCAAGTCCTCTGCCCATTTCTTAGTTGGGCTGTTTTGTTAGTACTTTGTAAGAGTTCTTTACTCTGGAAATTAATATTCTAGATACTCATCTCCGATCAGACATACGCTTTGCAAATAGTTTCTCCCATTCTGTGGGCTGTGTTTTTGCTCTCTTGATAGTATCTTTGGATGTACAAAGTGTTTTAATTTGGTAAAGAACATTTCATCTATCTTTTTCTTTCATTGCTTGTCCTTTTGGTGTCAATAAATCATTGCCAAAAGTCATGAAGATTTCCCCCTATGTTTTCTTTTAAGAGTTTCATCATTTTCAGCTCTTACGTTTAGGTTTTTGATCCATTTTGAGTTAATTTTTGTATGGGGTGTAAGGCAACTTCATTCTTTCCCAGCATCATTAGTTGAAAAAACTGTCCTTTCCCATTGAATGTCTGTCTTGGCACCTTTGTCTAAAATCAATTGACAATATATGTGAGGGTTTCCTTCTGGGTTCTTGCTCCTACTCCCATGATCTACTGTATGTCTGTTTTTATGCCAGTTTCACATTGTTTTGATTACTGACTGTATCTTTGTAGTAAATTTTGAAATCAGGAGCATAAGTCCTTGAACTTTCTTCTTTTATAAGATTGTTTGGGCTACTTGGGATCCCTTGAGATTTTATATGAATTTTAGGATGGGTTTTTCTATTTCTGCAAAAAAACACCACAGATTTTGATAGGGATTGCATTGAATCTGTAGATCACTTTGGGGAATGGTGCTGTCTTAATATTAAGTCTCCAATCAATAAACGTGGACGGTCTTTCCATTTATTGGTCCTTTCATTTCTTTAGGCAAGGATTTTTAGTTTTCAGTGAAACCTTTCATTTTCTTGACTAAATTTACTCTTAGCATTGTATTCTTTTTGGTGCTACTGTCAATAGAATAACTTTTCTTCATTTCCTTTGTTCATATATAATTTTACTGCCTGCATTTAGTTCTTTGTTCATTTTTTCTCTAAGCTCCTTGGTCGTATTTACCACATATTTTTTCAGCAGTGGTTGCCATTTTATTTTATTTTGTAAGTATAGTTGGTATACAATATTATATTAGTTTCAGGTGTACAATATAGTGATTCAACATTTATATACCTTACAATGTGATCACCACACTAAGTATAGTAACATATTTGATTTAAATTATTTGCCTAGCGAGTCTGATAGCTGGGCTTCCTTAGGGATGGTTTCAGTCAATTAACTGTATTTCTTTGAATGAGCCATGTCTCTTGTTTCTTTGTATGCCCTGTGATTTCTCAGTTGAAATTTGGGTCTTTCACTATAATAATGCGGTAACTCTGGAAATCAGACTCTCCCGCTTCCCATGGGATTAAGGTTGCTGGTGGGGTTTCTTTTGTTTTGAGTTTGTTTTTTTTTTACTGTTGAGGCTATAGCTGTAGTCGTCCTTTGCTTTGAGACTTCCTTTTTTTTTTTTTTGCAAAGTTTGTCACGTGTGATCGCTGAAATTGCTGATCGTTTAGCTCATGTTCAGTGAGTGTTTCAGGGGTTTCCTTGAGTGCCAGGAGCTCAAATGAACAAAGAAAAACATCAACTAAAGAAAAGAGTGAATAAGAGCTGTGCAGATGGGCTCTGGCTGGGACCGCCTTCGCCTCTTAGCTGGGCTTGCTCTGAGCCGAGGAACCAGCAGCCTGAGCCAAAAGCTGAAGGTCTCAGGACTTTCCCAAGATGCATCTCGCCCGGACATGTGCACGGCTTTCTAAATTCCCCCATGTACACATCAGTCTTGAATATCCTAAATTCCTCCCCCAAATCTCAGCCCAGCTTCTCATCCAGCCCTGATGGCCTGTTGGATCTCTCCATCCATAATCTCTTGCCTCAGGCATGTTTAGTTTTGCCGTCTGCCTCGTAGCTTCTATGAGCAGTGCCCGCTGCTTTTCCCACCTGTATTCTGACTCCTGTGAAGTGAATGCCTTGTTTCGGTCCTTCAGGTATTCCCCTAGGCAGGTTAGATCACATACACACAGTAACTATTATTTTACTTTAAACTTTTTGTTTCAAAAAAAAGTTGATCTGATATTGCAAGTGGAAAGCAGTTTCACTGGCCAAAAACAAAAGGCAATGATCACCACAACTATAATACAAACAAAACAATTTTCTTAAATCCTGGGTAAGTCCTGTTCCCACTAAAAGATCTGATATTGAAATTTAGCTTCCTCTGGGTAGTTCCAGAGCTTTTCAAAACATGTCGGGCGGGAGGGGTCTCTTTGATATAACCAGAACAACTGGAAGGAAAGCTTTCAAAAAGGGATGTGATTCAATGTTTTCTGCAAATGTTTTTTTTACTGGAACCTCTTAAGATCATTTCATATTGCACAAGAGGGATGACCCCCAACACACAGCTTAGAGGTCAAGTGCACACGCTGAAGAGTGAGAAGTAAATTCAGATACCAACCCTCCCACTGACCGGCTGAGTGACTTTGAGCAAGTTATTGGGCTTCTCTGAGCATCAGTTTCCTCTTCTGTTAAATGGACGATAGACACGCCAGCCGCACACAAAACCTGCGCGCGAGCGTTCATCGCAGCTTTACTCATAAGAGCTAAATGCTGGGAAGAAGCCAACTGCCCTCAATGGGTGGATGGCTCAACAAACTGTGGTTTGTCCCTGCCATGAAACCCTGTTCGGCAATAAACAGGGAAATATACTGATGGACACAGAGAATAACTCTCTATCAAATTATTCTGAGTGAAAAAAGAAAAAAGAGCCAGTCCCAAAAAGGCTACCTATGTGGTCCCGCTTATGTCCCATTCTTAAAATGACAAAGTTATAAAAGCGGAGAAAAGATTGGTTACTGCGAAGGGGTTAAGGATATGGATGGAGGAGGGAGAGGGAAAAGGAGGGAGGGACTGGATAGAAACAAGCAACCTGAGAGATGCCTGTGGCCATGGCGCTGACTGTGCTGGTGGATACACGAACCTACACAGGTGATAAAATTGCATAGTACTACTAGACACACTCACACACACGCCAAGGACAACAGGAAAAAAACTGAGAAAACCTGAGTTAGAGTGGAGTAAGAGTACTCTTGCTCTGAGTAAGAGTATTGCAGCAACAGTGATATCCTGGTTCTGAACTATAGTTTTGCAAGATGTGACCACTGGGGGAAACTGCATAAAGGATACATGGGCTCTCTTGGTTACTTTTTATAACTGCATGCAAATCTACAATTATCTTAAAGGTTTAATTACCAGCCTCATAGACTTTCTGTGAGGATGAGCTGAGGTAGTATTTGGAGAAGAAAACTCATTCAGCAAACGTTTACTGACACCTCCCATCTTGTCCAGCTACAGTATGACCTTACTATTGAGTCAGTAAGATTCTGTCCACTCATTGACCGGTCACATGCACTGAGTGTTTGCACGTAACGAGAATGGACTCTGAGAGATTAAAATACTCGTGGATGTGCCAGGTAGAGTGAGAAGCAGGATTCAAACCCAGATCCCAGCCCCAGGTTGCAGCCAAACATCTCTGAACTCACTGCCTTCAATATAAGAGTCCTTTTCTCTCTGCAGGATGACCCAGTGAAGACAGCCAAAATGGAGTGTGGGGACTTCTACAACACTGGGGACAAGGGAATCATTGACGAAGAGGGCTACATCTGGTTACTGGGAAGGGATGATGATGTCATCAACGCCTCTGGGTAGGTGTTGCTGACCTGGAGCCAGGAGCAATCGCCCTGACATGCCTGGTGGCATCTAACTTGCCTAGCCATTCCTCCATGCATTGGTGATGGGACCCTCAGCCTATTTCTGAATAGAGCCATGTATACAGGGCCATGGCCCGGGGTTCTCTGTGCACCTCCCTCAACCCCTGATTCCAGAAAAATCCACGAGAAAGTTCAAGAGGGTCTGAAGTGCAGGCACAATAAGATATCGGGGCAGGGAGGGGGGGAACGGATAGAATTGGGCAGGGATACCTCATTTTGGTCCCTATTGGTTGGGGAAAACTCTGATGAGGCACATGTCACAGAAAAACAACAATAACAGCAGGTAACCTTACACAGAGTACTTAGTATGTGCAAGTCCTCTCCTTAGCCCAGCGGTTCACAACCTTCCTAATGCCGCAACCCCTTAATACAGTTCCTCATGTTGTGGTGACCTCTCCCAACCATAAAATTATTTTCGTTGCTACTCTATAACTGTAATTTTGCTACTGTGATGAATCGTCATGTAAGTATCTTTTTGTTTTCCAATGGTCTTAGGCGACCCCTGTGAAAGGGTCGTTCGGCCCCCAAAGGGGTCGCGACCCCACAGGTTGAGAACTGCTGCCTTAGAGCTTTGTATAACCCAGTAGGTGCCATTGCTATGCCCATTTCACAAATGAGAAAACTGAGTCACTGACCAATGAAGTAAGTTGCCTAAAGTTTCGATGATAGTACAGGGTGACGCCCAGATTTGAACTGAGATGGCCCAGGGAGCTAGCTCCCTGTGCCAAGCCCCAGGGCTCTGGGGGGACAGCTTTCCCGCTGGCCCCTCATCAGAGGCAGTGAGGGGAGAAGCCCTCGTCGTAGCCTGAGGTTCCTGATACCCGGAATGCCCAGGTGTTCACGTTTTGGCCCCACTACACAGCCCTTTGCACAGTCCTCTGGCTCCTCGTGACAGTTGCCCTCTGTGCCAGGGAAGGTGTAACCTTTTCAAACATGAGATTGCAGGGCCTGGGTCACCCCAGCCCTGGCATCTGTTCAGAACCAGAGAAGGAACCCTTGGTCCCGCAGGTACCGGATCGGACCCACAGAGGTGGAGAACGCCTTGGCACAGCACCCGGCGGTGGCTGAGTCTGCTGTGGTCAGCAGCCCGGACCCGGTCCGGGGGCAGGTGAGGAGGGCACGGAGGTCATCGTGTGTGTGCGTGCACGCACTAGAAGGCTGGCACGGGGGAAACGTCTAGACCATACCTACCCAGACTCGGCCTAGGCGGAGCAAGGGCATATTGGTGTGCGTGGGGACATTTATACTGCGTGGCCAGCAGGAGGCACTGTTGGCATCATCTGTGACTGAAAATAGAGGGTGATGAATGTTTTGATGGCAGCTAATATTCAGTGGGCCCTCACTATGTGTTGGTCCTTGAACTCTCACAACCACCGAATGCGTTGAAGACTTTCATTCTCTCTTTCTGTAGATAAGGAAACAGGCGCACAGAAGCTAAATGACTTGCCCAGATCACACAGTGGGGGAGCCAGGATGGGAATCTGAGCAGTCGGGTCTGGGTCCTGCGTTCATTGATTCAACAAGTATTCATTGAGCACCTACTATATGCCAGGCCCTTTGCAATTAAAGGGGACATGGATAATCATATAAAAACCGTAACTTGCCAACAATTATTAAATACCCAGAAGGTTCAAGTCACAGAACCGAACATACAAATAATGGTAAAAATGATAAGGATAATACTGATGATAAGGATAATTATGAAGTGAAACCAGCTGCCGGTTTTATACGTATTATCTCCTGGAATCTGTACATAAACCCGAGCAGGGATGAGCCTGGTCCTGTCTTTTTCCAAAGGCGCAGGGTCAACTTGTTTTTCCAGTCATGAGTTAAACATTCACTTTGTTAACTAGGCCTTTGGCTGGTACTCACCCTCAGCCTCTGGTTCTGCACTGCAGGTGGTGAAGGCTTTCATTGTCCTGACTCCCCAGTTCCTGTCCCAGGATCTGGAGCAGCTCGCCAAGGAGCTGCAGCAGTATGTGAAGTCAGTGACGGCCCCGTACAAGTACCCAAGGAAGGTGAGTGAGGGCAGGGGCTTAGGCCATTCCCATGCTCTGCTGCCCAGGGTCTGAGAGGGTGGTCGGGGCCAAGCCTAAACAGCCAACAGAACTTCCTCTGCAGAAGCAGCAATTTGGCTGAGGAGTGGGTGGAGCCAACCGAATTAGATGGAGCCTCTATCCTGTGTCCGAAACTCTAAAGGAATCCATTACTGGCATGATAACCTGAGGGCAAAAAAATCAGACGAGTGCCCAAAGCTATCCTAGAAGTTATTTAAAATCTTTGAAAATTTGAAAAAGATAGCCAAAGTAGCAGCTTCCAAACTATTTTTAAACATAATTCATACTAGGAAATATATTCCATATTGCAACTCAATACGTATTCATATACAGAACAAATGAATGTTAACAAAATGGTATTTGTCCTTACAACATGCCACCCACTCTGATATTTTTTATTCTACCTCATTTGTTTTTAATGCTGTGTGCAAGTGACAAAAATGTCCAATAGAGAAATGACTCAGTTATTCGTGAAATTTAGTATCCTACAATTTAAAATGATGATGCAGAGCTTTCATTTTTAACATAATGTCACAATGTATTATTAAGAGGAAAAAGGGGGTGATGAAAGAATATACCTTACATCATCCTATTGGTTTAAAAACAAAGTTTGAAAGCATACATACGCCGAAAAGGTAACATTTCCTTCCTTTGCAATAATGCTTTGCTACATTGTCTGAACATGTATGCTCAGGACCTGTTGTACAGCTCAGCAGCTCACACTTACTGAATAGTTACTACGAATGCTTTACATGCATTACTACTTCATTTAATCCTCTCCACTACCTGGAATGGCCTAACCATCCTAATTTATGGAAAGGACGCTGAGGCTCAGAGGCGCAACGTAAATTGCCTGAGACGAGACTTAATGAAAGGCAGAGCTGGAACTCAAAGCCATGTGGAACAACAGAACTCTTGCTTCCAACGTTCGCTCTGCTGCCTCCTGGAGAGAATGGAGGGTGTGTACCAGTTAGGACAGGCCAGATGGTATTGTAACAAGCAGCCGCAAAGCCTTAGTGGCTTATTCTAAGGAAGGTGTCTTCCTGGCTCATGCGCCATGTCCACCATGATTCTCTTGGGACCAGGACAAACGAGTGGCCACCATGCAGGCACCTACCAGGTGCTATCAGAGATGGATAGAGAGGATAGCCAGTCTCAATGCTTCCGGAAACTTCTGTTAGGGGCAACATTTCATTGGTCAAAGCATGTCACAGGGCTGCAGCCCACTCAGGGGCTCAGCAGGAGAACCTGACATGCTCGGTGGGCCCCATTAAGGCCACCACATGGTGCCAGTCTGTCTGGGAGACTGTGCAGGGGGCAAAGGAGGGGAGTGGGGGGTTGGTAGGAAATGACCACGGGGCTAAGCCAGGATGGTTTGCTTTTCTCCTCAACCAGGTGGAGTTTGTCCTGGAGCTGCCCAAGACCGTCACTGGCAAGATTAAAAGACATGAGCTTCGGGAAAAGGAGTTTGGTGAGGTGTAACTGGCAATCATCTCAAAATGAACCCGCTTCTGAGTGTGACGGCGGGTAAATTCCTGGCTGCCTCAGTTTCTCCACTCTGGTGAGGGTATGGAGAGTTGATTCGGAAGGGTCCAGCACTATCAGCATTCTAGCCTCTTTGTTCTTTTAAATTAATACCAATCACTATCCTACCTCTGTCTCTTGCCACTTGGATTGCCCAGATGAGGGCTCTGATTGGGGCTGGAGGTAATAAAAGACTGACGCAATTATCACTGGTGACCCTGTGTTGTGTGTGTGTTCTGTGCACAAGCCTGTGCCACATGCGGTCCCTCCACAGTTCTCCCCAACCCGTGCTGGAGGGAGTGCAGGGCCTGATTCTCCCTCCTGGCCCCAGGGTGCCCCGTGGCCCTACCTGTCCAGTAGATGACCAGGACCAGAGGCGCGGGACTGATACTCCGAGCAGCCCCAGGTACCTGCCTCTGCTGGGTCCCAGCCTCAGTCCCGCGTAGGTGATTGAGTGACAGGCTCTCCAGGGCCCCCGAAGTCTTAGCCCTCAGCTTTCCCCCAAAGGTACCCACCCACACATTTTTTCCAGGGATCCAGGACCCTTTTGCTCCTCTCCAGGGGCCCAGAGTCCTCCCCAGGCATCTCCCCTCCATACTTCAGAACGCCTTTCCACCATCAGTTTTCCCCACCCCTGGCCTGGGGTCCTGTGAACTGACCCTTCCCTCCATCCATCCTTGCAGCCTGAGACGGGACCATCAGGGGGACACCAGAGGCTACGAGGAGCGGGGATTCAAAGGGCTCAGCCTGGATCACCCCTCTGAGCTTTAACGAGGATGACAAATTGCCAGTTTTATTTATGCAAGACACATGCCCTCAAGTGTGTATGTGTGTGTGTGTGTGTGTGTGTGTGTGTGTGTGTGTGTTGTTTTGTTACTAATAAGTCTATTAAAAATTAAAACCTCTGGGCCGGCCGAGTGGCACGATGGTTAAGAACTGGCTTGGGACGCCAGAGGGCCCCGGTTCGGATCCCACATATGAGGGCCAGTGACACTG